TTATATCACATAAACATTGGCATGTGTGTATGGAACTTTTTGAAGGTATTCTCAAATAATTACGAGCTAAGTTTGCCCGATGGGTGTCTGAGTTGATCTAGTGTGCGAAATAAATACTTGAAAAAATCGTATACATGCAGGCTAGTGAAGCCATAGCCAGCTCTCCTGTAATGCAAATGTCAATCTAAGGACTGGTTTCGATGTGGCTCGACACTAGCTACAACTAAGGCATATGCGCATCGGAAACCGAAGAAGGTACGGACAGACGGACGGACGCACATCCAAATCAATACTTTCATAGAAAATCAAGATCAAAATGCCAATGCCCATAACTTTTTCGTTTTTGGACCAATCGGGGCACTTAGACCGGCGTTGGAAAGGTGGCGAGGAGGAGCTTCTCTTGGACACCTCAGACCAGGGGGTGGTAAGATATGGGTGAATGAATATTTGAAAATTCATCGAAATTTTTCAACCGCTATATTTTTGCCTAGACCACACTTTAGGCATGAGGTATATGGTGTTTCCGACTAATTGGGCCAAGACCTTTCCAACTGTGCCTAACATGCCGGGGCCCAAATAGTATCCTGAGAAAATAGCATACTTACTGTATATATACTCGTGACGCAAAAACTGGCACAGTTTATGGTGCGTCGACGCATCAGGACTACCGTCCTCCGTGATATTTTCCGAGTTTTTTTTTGTAGTACGTAATTCGATAGCTTGAACAAAAAATACATTGCTTATTATGGAGGCTAAATGGATGGATTTTAGTAAAGCTAAGTACACAGTTCCTCGTGAAATGAAAAAATTTCTCCGGTGAAATTTTCACCAGTGATCTTCGTATCAAGTTTTTTTATATTCAAATTGCAAGTATAATGATTTTTGATGAATAAAACAGTTAGCTGCTATCATTATCAACACAATACACCAATAAATTTGTGTTTTGAATTTATTCTTCTATATATTTCGGTCACAGCAAATTTTTTCACGGTCGTGAAATTTTTTTCTCGTGCATTTTGCACGCGAAAATTTTTTCACGACCGTGAAAAAAATTGTAGAGGCGAAAATAAATAGAAGAATAAATTCAAAACACAAATTTATTGATATGTTGTGTTGAAAATGATAGCAGCTAACTGTTTTATATATCAAAAATCATTATACTTGCAATTTGAATATAAAAAAACTTGATACAAAGATCACTGGTGAAAATTTCACCGGAGAAATTTTTTCATTTCACAAGGAACTGTGTACTTAGCTTAAGAGTGAAAATATCTTAGAATGACGGAATATTTCGAACTTTAATACGCTTTTCTGCTAATTTATCCAAACTCACCTCTTAAGTGGTAAATTAAAACCAATAAATATTTACACATCGAAATATCTCGAAAACGGCTGGGAAAATCGGAAAAATTGACCGTGGTGTCACTCTCTAGGGGGAATGTAGACACCCGGCTGGTTTGATGGCCCAAAGTTCAAATCCAGTGGATTCGGGCTGATCCATGGGTTCTCAGGATTTGGTCTTGAAATTACTATGAAACCAGAGATCGAAAACGGTTTGACGTTTCTCATACAAACCGATTTCAGAACGGTTTCACTGCTTTGCTCTCTGTTCATCGGAGCAAACCGTATCAAGCGGAACGTTCTGAGAATGGTTTGTATGAGCAACGTTCATGAGTGTTGTCACTGTGTTAGTATCGTACACTAATACACGTAAGCATAAACATAAACATTTCTGTGTGCCATACAAAACATTTTTCAGATCATTCCGAATGGTTTGATTTGTTCACACACTCAAACCAAATATTCGGTTTGGTTTGGTTTCGATCCCTGCTTGAAACCAAAGCGTATATCATAATGAATATTTCAATTTGAAATATGGAAATAAACCATTAATAGTTAAGGCTAACATAAAATATTTATTTATAAATTTCTGCCATTTTCTGGAAGACTTATTTTGACTTATGTCTGCATCAATACGTAATAATATTACGCCGATAATTTCTATGCAATTATAAAATTTTTCAAAGGACTTAATCCCGAAGATGATGCAAAATACGTTCTCGAAGATAAAACAGCAGCGAAAAGCAAAACCATCAAAGCCGAAATGGCGTTCATCAAATCGAACTTTGCGCGCCTTCCAGTTGCTATCACAAAACTTGGAGCAGAATGCGTAAATACGAGTGGAGACAGTTTGTAAGAAAATACTGTAAAAAATACAGTCTACTGAGAAATCTTCTTTGTACATGTATTTATATCCTTCTTCCAGTGCTCATGTAATTTTTTTCGTCATTCGCAACTCCAATAATACTCTCGATCCAAAATCGATGATACGACGTACCTATAGGGGGGAGACACGGAATTTTAAATGAGTAAAATTAGAACATTATTCAACAATAATAATAGGAAAATAGAAAAAATTTGTGAATTTGGTTTGCCAATGTTAACGCTTATGGACCATTGTTTATTGTTTGGAAAAAAGTCCCGTTAGGTCTTCCATATTGACAGTGCAATACGCTCTGCAACTGATTTTACTAGAAATATTAGCGACGTACGCATATAAATACCAGGCAGAAATCGTGCTGCACATTTTATACCACTTGATACAGTGCCGGCAAGCTCCCATCGTTTATCTGGTCTTTGTACAACCAAGGGTCCCCCAGAATCACCCTGCAAAAGATAAAACACACTCAAATTTAGAATCGTTTTGCGTGAATCGAAACAATTAGTCAACGAGATTCTGACTTTTCACGTTCAAATTTGGTTCTTTTTTCTATTTTATTTTAATGAGTATTGTTGTGATACACTCGTGCATGAATGATATTTGGCGATTTTAATAACGCAAGAATGATTTCTGCTCAAATCTTACTTCACATGAATCTTTTTCACCTTCATCATATCCTGCGCACAATGTTGACGGCAATATCATCTTGGTATAACCGAGTTTATGAATCATTTCCTGGCATTTGCTATTTTCAATTATTGGTACCTGAAGTGATTTATTATGTAATTGATATAGAATAAATCATCAATACCCCGGGTGGACGCGATAGGTTTTGATGAAAGCCTACATTCGTTCGATGAGGCTTTCATAGTTTTTATGTACATTTTAAATACTGAACGCCTAGGCGAAAGAAGTGAGAATAGCAATGAAAGCCAAGGCGTTCAGTATTTAAAATGTACATATAACACATCGGTCAATAAGTCCCGAGCCTAAGTAGGAAAACAACAT